GGAAAGTCAGTTTAATCTGTCAGCGAGGATACCGTCGACATTAATTGCCGCTCATCTTCCTTTGGTGAGCCGAGTTACGTGCCCGGGGCACCTTAGATTCTTCGATTAACTTTCACTCCTGTCCGCTGCAAATACTTTGTAATTCTGCCTGTTCTCATGTCTGCGGTTCATCCGGTTCTGTTGAGTATCAGCTGCCGATAGTCATAGTGATCAGCTTATAGATATGTGAGAGCAGGCATTTCTCGCATAGTTCCTCAGATCTATCTTCTCGCCTTTCATGAAGAGCACGATTATTTCTGACTCCTTCTAGCTTCATGGTATCTTTTCCATTTCTAAATAACAACTGAGCATATCCGCTAGAGCCTTCCACAAGGTCTGACCACATGCTTTGATCATTTCAGTTGTCAGACCTTTTTTTTTCAAACTGTCCCTCCATTCCTTAGCTACGCAGCATGTAAAACTTCACTTCTGAAGACCACGCGTGCATTTGGCAGCTGAAATGATGATGACCCAGACATCTAGGTGTAAACCTTTTACACATAGACTGTATCTTAGCTCTGTCAGACGTTACTGCGACACCTCCGTTGTTCAACACACTGATGATCGACTGATAATGCATTAATTCTCTCTTGCATTGCCTGAGGCTTCTCAGGTCTTCTGCTGTTACCTCTAAGTTTGAGGTCAAAAAGACTCGAAGTGCTTCCTCAGCTTCAGTCCCATGAACTTAACAGAGAAAAGAGAACTCCACCGTAGCGAATTCATCTCTCTTTACTTTCCCCACTTCTGCAACAAACAGTTTATTTGTTCTGAGATCCTTCCTTTCTCTGGCTTTGAAGTTGCTACCTCAGTTAACTTTAAACAGCGATTCAGTTTCTCGGCGAGTTTCTCGCAATCATCGTCGCAGCTGCAGTCTTCATTGGAAATGCGCGCGTTTGGAGGACCGTCTTGTTGACAACCCTCCGTCGATTTCTGCGATTTGCCATCCATAGTGCCTTCCAGTCAAATCACTGCTCGAAAGATTAGCCCGGCCCACCTACATTCTATAGTTACTGCTTGCATCAGATGAAGGGGTTACTGCCATGTCTCGGATGGCAAGGCACTTATCGAACACGATGAAATGGATTTCGTTCGTCGTCCAGCATTAAGGGGTGATCCATATCCACTTCCCGTTGATCCTCTTGTTTGAACATTTGTTTTCAACGTACAGGTTTCCGACTTCAGTGGTTCTTACCAGCTGATTTTCCTCGCTCGAAGCTGGCGTCGAGGTCTCACAAGACGAGGTTATAGGAACGCTGTTCTTTTGGCAAATGCTGGTTACAGTTCTTGATATGATACGATCTTCAAGGGTCTTTATGTCCAGTTGGAGACACAGTACGCCCTGTCATTGTGTCTTCACACGGCAGGAAATGATGTTGGGGGATCAGCTTTTGCTGACTGCAAATCCGATTCCTCCCACGTTCCTTGCGCCCTCTCCTCTTCCCTGCAAAATCGAATCAGCGTCTTGCCAGTTGACATTCGTCTCTTCCGCCGTCGTGTCTCGCAGGAGCAAAGGGTGTCACCCGCCAGTGGTGACCTTTCATCCCGTAGTTGATTTAGCTCTTCTTTCCTGACCAGTCATTTACAGTTGCAGGTAAAAACGGAGAAGAAAGTCCGGGTCAGTTTACCAGATGTCGGCACTTCACCTAGGATTCTTAGCAACCTCTTGCCAGTGGAATACCGAAACTCTGCGTGGGAACTGATCAGGAGACTCTGAGGGTATGAAACCCATTCATTCGTATTGACATACTCATAAAGCAAGAAGTTTTCACACGCTATTATGGATGACGGTGACCTCGGGAATTTCGTACAGACATCCCTCAATTCCGCTGATTATTTTAATCGAAGTTGTCTCTTCCAGCCTTTGAAAAATCGAATCTAACCGCTAGACAGCGGTAAAATTGATGACCTGTTCTTTCAAATGGAGCGGGGCTCGCTTTCGCCTGGAGATGAGATTGTTTTTGGGCCCTGTGTAAGGATCTGAACTTGTCGAGTTGAAAGCCGGACACATTCTGGTGACCTCACCGCTGTCTGTTAGCGATTGCTTATTTGTCGCAGTTGACCTCCACAACTGTAAGTCGTTCCTCTATGCGCAACCCGAGGACGTACCAGATGGCCAGCAGCTAGGCACACTGGAAGACGACTAACATCCTCCTGCCGGGATATCATCAATTTGCCATTTGCCAAGTACTTCGTCTTGCGAAAGCACGATCGATTCCATTATCTAATAAGACCCGTGACAGAAACACTGTGAGACTTATTGCCTTATATCACGGGTATTGCGAATAGCATTCGTAACGCAACACGTATTCATACGAATTTAGAGTCTAAATTCTTGTGGATTGATAGTCCGCTGTTGAATAGAGAAGATTTCGACCGTGGGGGATTAGAAAAATCCGGAATGTGAGTAACTGATCAAATAAATATGTTAAGTAAGTAGGCCAGATAATATGTAAGAATATGTGTGCACATCACTTTATTAGTAAGTAAATAAGTAAGTTAGTGTAAGTAAATAAGTACATAAGCAGTTAAATGCAAACATATTAGTGAATGTGTCGTTTTATAGCGTCAATCGAATCCTAATGACATCCATTTTTCAGCTGAA